CCCCAAAACCCCAAAACCCCAAAACCCCGTGATAAAGATGCTTAATTACTAACAAGAAATTTAAACTGAAATAAAATTTCTTAGCATTTTTCAAATTATATATTGAAAGTACATTAGAGTAGTTAATTAATTATTATTATCAAAGAACTACCTATTAATGGAAGATAAAGAAAATATCCTATACAAATCAGGAGACTACATATTTAGGTTACCGTATTCAATGGAAGAGTTTGAATCTAATTATACTAAAATGATTGAAGTCTAGATTGATGATCCTATTCCAAATTCATTTAATCAAGATTTTGAGTCTTAGAAAATGATGAATGACCTAATGAAAGAAAAAATGTTTAAGAATGATAGCTACATATATGTTGAAGACATTAGATCAAAAGAACTTGCTGGAATATTTGTTGTTTTCGACTAAGATTAGCCACAAGATTCAATTCCGTTTTATTCAGATAGATACAAAAGTATGATCACTTCACTAGTTGAAACAACAAAAAATGCTAAAGAAAATCATCCAGAACTTTTTACCGATGAGACTAAGAAAATGCGTGTTCGCCTAATAATTGTATTTCGAGAGCATAGAGGCAAAGGAATTCTTAATCATATGTATAATGCATTCGAGAATATCGCTGAATCTAGAGGCTTTAATACGATTCATATGACTTGTGGAGCTCCTGAGACTTTTCATCTCTGCAAAAAATTTGGGTATTAAACTTTAGGAGAATTCAGATATTTAGGTCTAGAACCTGAATTATTGCAATATTTTAAGCCATCTGATGAGATTAAAATGAAATTTCGAGGAGAAGATATGAGAATATAATATAATGTCAAGATTATATAGAAACAAAGGGAAGAGTAAGTTTTAGATTAGATTGAATGAGCTTTTGATTAGTATTTAATTATTAAGGAATTCAATTCAAAGTAGACGAATTGGATTATCTTGTATTTTACTCATAATATTTTTTGATTTCTCAATCAATTAGATAGTATTATATTTAGTAAGGGGTTTTGGGGTTTTGGGG